AAAATCCATCGTTGACACACAAGTGTAAAAGCGAAGATACTACCAAGTATAGAGAAACACAAACCACGAAATTATTTGTGACCACCAGCAACTTAATTGCTGATAAGAGGGTGTAAGAAACTAAGCTAAGATGTTTCTGCACGCATAGCGCTTGTGTAACAAGTGTGGTTACAAGTGTGGATGCAAAGTAATCAAGCGAATAATGAAGCCAAGTTGTAACCTAAAAGATAACAACTTTAAACCAATCACTTACGGAACCTGAAAGAAAAATAATGTGAAATAAAGCGTATGCTTGTTTGTTTTACCTGAAAGAAAACAAATATGTATATCAACAAATTCAAGAAATAAACAACAAACACAGTGCTGTTAGCGTATGTGTGCATTGCAATATGGTGAACTGTCAACGTGCCGTCAAGTTACTTGTCAAGTCTTTCGTCACCAAGCTTAGTTATTTATTAACTGAGCTTTATTTAAAATAATTTGAGAAAATGTTGTTGAGGCTTAATAAGAGGAAACACAAACACACATGTCAACCATTCATCATAAATGCACAAGTAAGGCAAATAATAATGAAGCAAAGTACTAGCATTATACTAACTTAACTATGAATTAAGAATACTAAGAAATGATTTGCTAACTAAACTTTTAAGAAAAGATAATTTAAACACTAAGCAGTAATGCCGCTTAAAAAAACTTTATGAGAAATGCAAATTACACTACTGAATTACTTTTCAGCTAGGAAAAAAAATCAGCTGAATTAATAACTTATTAATACTAATTTAAATGTTAACAAAATCAAATGTAAACAAACAATATGAATTAGCAAAAAAATATATAAATATAAATGTAAACAAACACTTTACAAAGGTTACTTGAAATTAATCAAAATGTAAACAAATGAAAAATGCACTATCTATGAGCTCATAACATAATACTACAAGGCCATTAAAGTCAATATGCTAGCTAGCAACAAGTAAAGTCACAATACGCGGTATTCTAGGAATGTCAATAAGGCGAACATAAGTGACGAATCCTGGGGTGTGTGTGAAGACATCACGCGACGATCGTAGACCCGAGGTGTTGTATGTCGCTAGGCAGAGGCAGTGTCCATCGCTGAAACTTTTTCAAGTCCACAAATCACTGGGGGCTCCATTTTGTAGCAGGGTCACAATGGCGACACGCATAGAAAGTGAATGCAGGGTTGTAAGTTCTGTTTATTCCAAGTGGATGTAGATTTCAACATACACGATAAACCCTGAAACAATTGTAGCAACCTTATACTAAACAATATAATAACAATGTTCGGCATGCTTGCAGAACATACATTGACATATCTATTTATATATATTCAGTATATTAACATTATAAATGTTAATAGAGCTTGAATGCATGAGCCGACAATATTATCTGTACATTAAAACATTCACGGAACTATAATGATGCCGAGGGATTGAACTTTACAAAGATCAGGGCGATAACTCATGACATGACTTAAACAAAGCCATAAATGATATCGTGGCAATCACCGCTATGACAACATACACTATTTACCTTAGAAGGTTAATATAAAGGAGCGACGATTCTGTATGCTAGAATTATATATACACATGATATAAACAGTATTATGCGGCACATTACATACCCTATGTATGGCACAGGGGCCCGTGTTTATGCCTGGCTGCCATAGCAGACGATGGAATACTGTGTGCTGGAAATAAGATAGATTCCGATCAAAACCAAACCGATTCAGTGTAAACTGTCCATGCAGACATAACAATAAGCATGGAAAGATATATTTTATACACTGTAAAATCTTAGATTGAGACACTTTGCCATTATTTGTGCAAAATGCGATAATAATAATTAGACAACATTCATACACAAAGCATACTCACAATGCCTCGCTTTGAAGTTATTTAATGCTGTTTATGTTTAAAGGGAATATATGATACACATTAAAATGGGAACTTTGCGTTTACCTGCCGTGCGATTACAAGACATGTTAACTACCCTGGACGGCATTAATTACCCTTATTAATATCGCTATGTGTTTAAGATTACTTATTGAATGACTGCTACATTAGATATGCATAAACATTATTTAAGATAGTTAGTTTACTAACCTGATGAAAATTAAGTTGACGCCTATGCTTGTCTGTCTCTCACACAAGTTTTGTCAGTTGTGTCAGGGTGCGAGGTGTTCAGGCATAGAAAAAAAGCATGCAGGTTTGAATGGACCAATCGTAGCGATGTTGTCACGGTTGGGTAGACACTATTGGTTGTGTTACTAAAACTAAAGCGATGAACTATATGAATTGTTTCAAGCTGATATGAGCTGAAATCAAGAAACTTATTTAAAATACATGAATTGTTAACTATTTCATTTCAGTCACTGTAGTGAGTTGAAACAAAGCAATATATTAAAATACATATTTACATTGCATATATCAGCGCCTACTGGATGCTGAAATAAAGACAGAAAATTAATGATTATTTACAATACTTTAAAGCTAACTGGCGCAAACTAATCCTAACACTCAGACATACAAAGTATATCCCTGCCACATATACACCAGATGTGGATGTAGAACAGTAATATAAATGTTCTGTAGAAGTCTTGTGAAGTACACTTATATACACCAGATGTGGATGTAGAACAGTAATATAAATATTCTGTAGAAGTCTTGTGAAGTACACTTATATACACCAGATGTGGATGTAGAACAGTAATATAAATATTCTGTAGAAGTCTTGTGAAGTTACTTATATACACCAGATGTGGATGTAGAACAGTGATATAAATATTCTGTAGAAGTCTTGTGAAGTACACTTATATACACCAGATGTGGATGTAGAACAGTGATATAAATATTCTGTAGAAGTCTTGTGAAGTACACTTATATACACCAGATGTGGATGTAGAACAGTGATATAAATATTCTGTAGAAGTCTTGTGAAGTACACTTATATACACCAGATGTGGATGTAGAACAGTAATATAAATATTCTGTAGAAGTCTTGTGAAGTACACTTATATACACCAGATGTGGATGTAGAACAGTGATATAAATATTCTGTAGAAGTCTTGTGAAGTACACTTATATACACCAGATGTGGATGTAGAACAGTGATATAAATATTCTGTAGAAGTTCTGTAGAAGTCTTGTGAAGTACACTTATATACACCAGATGTGGATGTAGAACAGTAATATAAATATTCTGTAGAAGTCTTGTGAAGTACACTTATATACACCAGATGTGGATGTAGAACAGTAATATAAATGTTCTGTAGAAATCTTGTGAAGTACATGTAGAACATATATACACCAGATGTGGATGTAGAACAGTGATATAAATGTTCTGTAGAAGTCTTGTGAAGTACACTTATATACACCAGATGTGGATGTAGAACAGTGATATAAATATTCTGTAGAAGTCTTGTGAAGTACACTTATATACACCAGATGTGGATGTAGAACAGTGATATAAATATTCTGTAGAAGTCTTGTGAAGTACACTTATATACACCAGATGTGGATGTAGAACAGTGATATAAATGTTCTGTAGAAGTCTTGTGAAGTACACTTATATACACCAGATGTGGATGTAGAACAGTAATATAAATGTTCTGTAGAAGTCTTGTGAAGTACACTTATATACACCAGATGTGGATGTAGAACAGTAATATAAATGTTCTGTAGAAGTCTTGTGAAGTACACTTATATACACCAGATGTGGATGTAGAACAGTAATATAAATGTTCTGTAGAAGTCTTGTGAAGTACACTTATATACACCAGATGTGGATGTAGAACAGTGATATAAATGTTCTGTAGAAGTCTTGTGAAGTACACTTATATACACCAGATGTGGATGTAGAACAGTGATATAAATGTTCTGTAGAAGTCTTGTGAAGTACACTTATATACACCAGATGTGGATGTAGAACAGTAATATAAATGTTCTGTAGAAATCTTGTGAAGTACACTTTATATACACCAGATGTGGATGTAGAACAGTAATATAAATATTCTGTAGAAGTCTTGTGAAGTACACCTATATATACACCAGATGTGGATGTAGAACAGTGATATAAATATTCTGTAGAAGTCTTGTGAAGTACACTTATATACATACACCAGATGTGGATGTAGAACAGTGATATAAATATTCTGTAGAAGTCTTGTGAAGTACACTTATATACACCAGATGTGGATGTAGAACAGTGATATAAATATTCTGTAGAAGTCTTGTGAAGAAGTACACCTTATATACACCAGATGTGGATGTAGAACAGTGATATAAATATTCTGTAGAAGTCTTGTGAAGTACACTTATATACACCAGATGTGGATGTAGAACAGTAATATAAATGTTCTGTAGAAATCTTGTGAAGTACACTTATATACACCAGATGTGGATGTAGAATAGTAATATAAATATTCTGTAGAAGTCTTGTGAAGTACACCTATATACACCAGATGTGGATGTAGAACAGTGATATAAATATTCTGTAGAAGTCTTGTGAAGTACACTTATATACACCAGATGTGGATGTAGAACAGTAATATAAATGTTCTGTAGAAGTCATGTTAAGTACACTTATAGACACCAGATGTGGATGTAGAACAGTAATATAAATATTCTGTAGAAGTCATGTGAAGTACACTTATATACACCAGATGTGGATGTAGAACAGTAATATAAATATTCTGTAGAAGTCATGTTAAGTACACTTATAGACACCAGATGTGGATGTAGAACAGTAATATAAATATTCTGTAGAAGTCATGTTAAGTACACTCATATACACCAGATGTGGATGTAGAACAGTAATATAAATATTCTGTAGAAGTCATGTGAAGTACACTTATATACACCAGATGTGGATGTAGTGATTGCTCTCATAAGAACCACCTTACCCATGTTGTGCCCTTTTAGGATTCCATTGCTCAGTCATTTCGTCAGGTATATTGATGATTGATATTTATTATTTTTCAGTTGATTTTAACCGAGTGCACTTGTCAGGACATGAGGATTTCATCAATGCCAGCCATGTAGATGTGAACATCGGTGATGCATCTCTGCAGTACATTGCATGCCAGGGCCCACTGCCACACACCACTGCAGACTTCTGGAACATGGTATGGCAACAAAGGGCAGATGTCATCGGCATGCTTACTCTGGATGTGGAGGCTGAGCGAGTAAAGTGTCACCGCTATTGGCCAGAATCCACAGACACACCTATCAGTGTCTCTGACAGGTATGTATGTTTCTATCAACAAAGTTACTGCCACACCAGCAGTTCATTGACTCTGATAGATTGGCAGAAATAGAAAAAAACTGTGTTTAGGCTGTTACTCTGTATCCCTCAACTTTTCACAACTGCAAATAGCATATGTCGAAATAACCCACATCGGCCTCAGTGAGATGTGTAAAAAGATATCCAGAAAAGCATGTTTACTCGTAAAATGGGGCAAAAGTTTAAAAAACATGAGTTGCTGCGGAAAACAATAGATTAGACTCTAGATTGCAATTAGGTCGCTCAGCAATTGGGGCGACGATGCCCTGTAAACTCACCTGGCATGGAATGCATGTGCTGCCTTCAGGCACAAGGGATCATCTCAAAGATATTTTATGCTTTTTACATGTGTGTTGAATATGTTTCATATATTGATTAACATCTTCATAAGATTTATGTTGAGATATGTGAAAAAGTATGACACCCATAGGAAAGCTTATATCAGACATCATATTAAATGTCTCAAAATATATAGGTGGCATGACCACCTGAATATCGACAGGACTGGATATTAAAAACACAATGCCATATTTAGAAAGTGGTCAAATGTAACATATGTTATATTTGGGATTACACTTTCTCAGTAAAGTACAGATTCTAGTACTTTTGGGGGGGTTGAGTCCCATCCCATTCGAACCCACACCCTCAGAGTCAGGCACCTAATCGCCAGCACACAAAGTCAGATGCCTAGACCTCTCAGCCACCGCGGCTTCCACAAAAATGGAAGTCAGACAACTGGCTGCTTTGTCAAGTAGGTTTTGGATTATGGCAGCTCGTGGAGAGATTTGTAGTTGGGAACATGGAGTGTGCTTGGTGTAGGCGTCAGAAAACCAAGCCTGCTACACAGATAATGGCAGATTTACTAAGTGTCAGGGTTAGATGTTCCATGAGACCCTTTGCTCAGACAGGAGTAGACTTTGCTGGTACATTTCTAACAAAGCAAGTTAGGAAAAGTCGACTGAGAAACAGTATCTGTGTTTATTCCGTGTCTATCAACTCGAAGCGGTACACCTGGAGATAGCTTTTGGTTTAGACACAGACTCTTTCCTGAATACTTTCTCTCATTATGGCACACAGAAGAGGAATGCCAAATGAAGTCATCTCTGATTGGGACTAACTTTGTGGGTGCCGTCAAGGAACTAAGACAGCTAATTTGAACTTTATGGGAGCGATCTAAAAGCTTCTTTAGCAAGCAGAAAAGTTTTGTGGAAGTTTAATCCACGACATGCTCCACGTTTTGGTGGAACTTCGAATCTTTGTTTAAATCAGCCAAAGAGCAATCTTTCCTGTTCTTCGTTCCGGTGATATATCAGATGAGGAACTGTTGGCCACCTTTGTGGGGGCGGAGGCTTTGTTAAACTCTCAATTTCTGATATACCAGAGCGCACATCCCAGTGATGTTGTGCCTCTTACACCAAACCATTTTCTGCATGGTCAATGTGGTGGCCCTTTTGCACCTGAGGAAGACCTACAAAACTTCAATCCTCGTAAACGTTGGAGGCGTGTACAGGAGTTACTGAGGCATATATGGAAAAGGTGGATGAAAGAGTGATAACCCACTCTCAATGTCCACAAGAAATGGCAAGCTACAAGTAAGGACGTCAAAATAAATGACGTTGTCATTGTTGTTAGCCCTGAATCTCCACAAGGAAGCAGGGCGCTAGGTAGAATCACCAAGATATATCCAAGCAAAGATGGACACGTCAGAGTAGTGGATGTTCAAGTGGGGAAATCAGTGTTGACTAGACCTGTTACCAAGCTTTGTCCACTGGAGTGGAATCCAGAATAGGTCAAACATTGTGTACATTTCAAGTACATTTCAGTACAAGTCTACACAACATTTAGTGTAAATAGATGTCTCTCTGAAAGACCAGGGTCCTGTCGGCAAAGGGGGACATGTTCTGGAGAGAAAGTTTTGTTATCTGATAGGTGAAAAAACATAGCCAAAACACATCTTTATAAGAACCATAAACGTTGCATCAAAGCGCAACCATAACGTCTCGTGCAGTCACTTTCTGCATGTGCAGGGTCGAGCACATGGGTTTCTGACAGCTAGGTGGATGTTCGAGAATTGTGATCAGTGAGAATTGTACTGGTCGTGAAGACGACCCCCAAACTTGACCCTTTAAATCAGTGTCAAAATGGTATGTTTCGTGCATAAGTCGATCCCCCGCGATGGGGTCCTAATCGCGGCAAACACAGACCACAGACAACTGGCAGTTACCAATAATTATAACTTTGGTCCACATTATTCAAAGAATTCACAGTCATATATATTGTGTCTACTCACGGATCGAAACGAAGTGTAGTTGACATAAAATGCATAATATATTTTGCTTCTCTAAATATCTTATTTATTGTAGCAACAAACTGGCTTGCTTATTGTACCCCATTCAACAATCACGAACTGATTACCGCCTCGTTTTCCATTGACTGCTAGTTTACAGTAACATTGGTAAAAATGTGTGAATTTAAATGGCTTCTGTATTTTACCCCATTCCATGTGCGTACAACTTCTGCTTACCACGTTCATGAGGGCCCGTATAACCTTAGTGTTGAATATATACACAGTAAAAAAAGTGTTGCACACCCATATTAAAACTCTGGTTACGTTGGCATATCCAAAACACACGAATAGGTTGTTGATGATAACCATTCTGCTAGGATTTGGTGTTGAAGTCATTAATGTTTTCGTAGTGAAAACGATCTCCAAAACGTAGCAACCTGCACGTGAATATCATGCTTCATGATTTTTGCAAATTGCAGTATGCTCATGTGATGAATCTAAGCCTATAAAAATTGTTCTTCTGGCGTTGAATCCATTGTAGCGCAGCATGCGAGGTGCGAGAATAGCAGATGCAGTCAAGTGGCAGATTATTGGACTCCATAGGGCAGGTCTTTCCTTCAAGGAGATTGGCAGAAGAACGGGCGATCATTACTCACAATAAGCCGCCTGGTGAGAAAACATCGCTGAGACTAATGATGTAAAGAATCGCAGACCTTTTAGACAGACCCGCGATATAACCACAGTCAGGGATGACAGAGCATTGCTAAGGCTGGTAAAGGCGGCAACCCTTTGCTTCAAGTGCAACCCTGAAACTTCCATGGCTTCCTGTCGTAGTCAGATCAGCCACCAAACAGTGAGGAATCGACTCAAGGCCACTGGATTGAGGTCCAGAAGAGTCATCAAGAGCCCCAACTCACAGAGAACCACAAGAGGTTACGTCTAGCCTGGTGTAGACAAAGACAAAGGGTGGAACTTGAGGTCTTGGAGAAGAGTCCACTGGTCAGGCGAGAGCAGATTTCTTGTGCATGTTGTGGATGGCAGAGTCAGAGTTTAGAGGTGCGGGTACAGCTTATGCACCTAGGAACATCATGCCAGCGGTACCATATGGAAGTGGATCGGTTATGGTATGGGGTTGTTTCTCATTTGACTGTAAGCTGGATCTAGTGACCATACAAGGCACTTTAGCTTGGTGATCGCTACATTCAGGAAGTGCTTGATCCAGTTGTTGTGCCCCATTTTGACAATCATCCACTTGCAACCAGGCCAATATTCGCCGATGATAATGCTTTCGGCCACATCGTTCATGAGCTGTGGCCCAGGTCATCAGAACAATGCACTGACTCACCTCCCATGGCCAGCAATGAGTCAGATCTCAATCCCCTGGACACACATATGGGACATTTTGGGCCGTCTGATACAGCGCAGGGATCCTCCTCCACAGAGCGTCACGGGAACTGGAAGCAGCATTGCGAAGAGTGGCAACAGCTGCCCATAGAAGCGATTTCGGCGTCTGGTGAGGGGTATGAGAGGCGGCGACTGGAAGCTGTTATCCAAGTACTGGGCGGAAGTTCGCGATATTGACTGTTTGTGTTTGTCCACACTCTGTATGTCAGTTTCAGCCTAAGAGAAGTTTTGTTTTGACATTAAATTTCCATTCTCTGCCATACTTAAAACCGTCTCGTTTTCCTTGAATTTGAGCGCATAATACTTAAGGGCAAGATCCTTACATACCATGAGGTCAGGGGATACCCCATCTCAGTTCATTTTATAGGCACAAGACTGGTTTGTTGGTGTATGCACCATCAGGTTCAAATTCTCATTCTGTTATCGTTCAGTTCGCCAAAAACATCATACCCGGAAAAGATAGGGGGTGCAACACTTTTTACTGTGTATATATATTTTACATAAAATCTGTAATTAAAATTACACAATGCTAGGATATATTTCTTTGGGTTAAATAATAGTATTCTGTACTATATTTTTACTGATGACTCGTCAGAATTCATCCCGTTATATTATTGTGCATGTTTGAACTTGTTAAGCGGGAAGCGTGTGCACAGCTGATTGCTATTATTTCGGTTCAAATACACATGGTAATCTTAATGTTAATTAATTTATAGAGCAAAAACTGTGACCCGCGTGTATTTCTTTGGGTTAAATGATGGTATTCTGTATCATATTTTACTGATGACTGCGTCAGAATTCGTCCCGTTATATTATTGTGCATGTTTGAACTTGTGTGCACAGCTGATTGCTATTTCCGGCTCAGATACACACGGTAATCTTAATCCCTGCAAATAATACAATGCCCAGCAAAAACAACTGATAACTTAAAAGGTAAATAATCTTGTCTAGTGATGTTTAATTGCAAATTTGACGTCTCTACTGACAAAGTCGTCTTCTGTTGTTTGTTCACGCGAAGTGATACGATTTTGTTTTCTTACCCCTGGAAAAAAGTTTGATGAAAGCGTAACCCATGGATAAGACGACCCCCTTCTACAGACTGCTTTTTTTGGTCCTCAAAATTCGGCTTATAGACGGTCATATACGGTATGAGAATAGTTTGCCATATTCGGGCATAGTTTAGATACTAAACAATTTAGAATTATAGTTATTAATAGCGTAACAGATAACTTGTTTAGTTTATGTAGTTTATAAAAGTATTATGTTTAGTTTGGTGATCGGAGTAGCAAAAGTATCATATTTAGTTTGGTTGTCTGAGTGGCAAGAACTTTGTTTCGTTAACATTTAGTTAAGCAAATTTTTCACGTTCACAAAATTTTGTTTCAGTAATTCCACTGTTTAAACAGTGATAGTGAGACTCCATGGTAGCTACACCCTTAATATTTTCAGTATTAAAAGTTATTTTTTTTACATCAGCAATTGTTTATAATGAAGGTAAGTCTCCTTTCAAAATGGGCATTTAAGAAGTGCCCTTTGTAATACAATATCCTCGCACACTGTACTTTACTAAGAAAGTGTAATCCCAAATATAACATATGTTATTACCAGTTGTGTTGCTGCTGATATCTCTCAATCTAGGCAAGTACCAGCCTGCTCTTGTGTTTCAGCTTGACTGTGAGTCTCAAGTCCCATCAGGTGCTGGATAATGTTCACATCCGCCATATTGTCCTACATGAACACAAATCCAAAATGATGATGAACATTGCTCACCTGAACTTTGTGGCGTGGCCTGACCACGGGGTTCCAGACACTGCGCTGCCCGTCCTGCAGGTGAGAATGAGAGGACACTAGAACCTTAACGGGGCACTGATCCAGAGCACTTTCCATGGACTGCTTGTTGCTTTTGTTATTGTTTTTGTCCCGTGAGTACCCGGATGATATCCCAGAATTCTTTACTGGTTCGTGACCTCTGCTGCACCGCCTGCAAGCGCAATTGATAGTATAAGTATAGATTAATCAACAAAGATGAAGTCTTTTTTACTCGATAACATTTTGATCTTCATAATTATTATACCAAATGAAAACATTTTGAAGTTTAACCATCTGCCAGTGGTAAAAATGTTAGGACTGAAAAATAACGAACACAATGTATGTCTTTATATTTTGTCTTATAATCCTAATTAGTTTATTATTATATTTGTATACATTTTGAAAGTTAATACAAACCACACAACCTGCTTATACTTATAGTGAACTTATAACATGACTGTAATATCTAGACATTGTATAGATTGCCAATGTCAATCAAACTTCACACACGCGCCCTAAGTGCGACCTGGTGTATGTTGTCTGTATCATTACACTTCATGGTGAAAAAATATGATTCTGTTGAATGCTACAACCAATGAATAGAAACAAAATGCAAATATTCAAATTAAAACGGACTAAAGTTACAGCACCAATGTCAGGCTATCCTACCTTGTTCAAGGAATGTCTCATCAATATCCACATAAAGGAACGATATGCCATTCATCTGCAGCTGACAAAGAATACTGTTCCATGTCATGTGTCTTTTAACAGTCTAATATGCGAAAAAGTGATATATTGAGTAATAGTACAATTGGGGTTCTGCATCACATGCGGCTTAGAGGCTTATTTATGGGACTTAAGCCTCCCAGCCCCCCCCCTTAAAAACGGCGAGGGTGTAGCGCGATGCATCCTTCGTTGTGCCTCCAGCCTAGACCGAGCATAGCAACGGAGTTTGGATTGGGATTTAAATGTAGCCGTAATACTCGGCGACGACTTTATGGAGTGGGTCTGCCATGAATTCCTCGAAGTGGATTAAGGAGTACGAGACATCGCATTCTCGGGTCTCGAAGCTATAATCGATTAACGTATCCATTAGGCGTTGTAACCGTTCGGTGTCCATGGTGAATTTCCCCCGACTTATGACTCGACGCAGGGCGGCGTAAATATCGAGGCCAAGGACGTCCATCTTGATGGGTTTGAACAACCGTTTCTCGATCAATCTCCACATGTATGAGAAACAAAAGACAAATCTTTAATAAGGGGGCAATACCGTGTCATTAGGGATGAATCCCCTATCCGATCCGTCTTGCAAGTAGTACAAATTCAGTCCGTCGTCTTTCATGTCGACTCGGTCGATGTGGTACGTTTTCATGGACCATATGGGGTCTGTGGCACGATGTTTGTCCCTTCCTTCGAGTGGACATGGCGCAGCCGATTCGGTCGTCACGGATTTCATTCGAATGGCTCCGACGGGTCTTTTATCGAGGTGTCGAGTGACTTCGTTGTTGATCACCGACACCACTCACGTTAAGCGTACCACCCATTCCGTTGATCGCTTTTCTGGGTTGACCATCTCTTTGGCATACTGATGTCCGAACAAACGCTCAGCTAAAGTCCTGTTGAATCTTTCGATGATGGCTTGGCTTCAGTGAGCTCCGGCCACGCCCCGTCTCACCTGGACTTTATGCTTTGATAACAGCTGCAATACGGCTCCCATGAACTCGTGTCCGGGTTCAACTTGTAATTCGGTCGGCCAGGTCAAGCGACTGCGTTTGTAGATACGTTCTAAGGCCTTAGCGACTTGACTCGAATCTTTGGTCATTACCGGCTCAGCTTCCTTGTAGCGACTGGCCTCCATGACGGTCAGGGCGTACTTGTACGTTTTGTTTCTCACCCTGTTATGCGGGTGAAACAGGAGGTTGACTTGATGGGTACGATTGGGTACGGAAATGTCAAACTTTCTTCTCAGGATGTATCGGGGAGCCGGCAGGTACACTTGCCAGATGGCTTGTTTTTCAAGCCAAGCTTTGGCGGTATCCTCGGAGACGGGAGCGGCTTTGGCTTGCTTCGGGATGGCGCCCACACCTTTCCAGTAACGCCGGGGGCTGTAGTAAACCTTGTCCATGATGTATACACGCTATTATCCATTCAATAGTCTGTCTAGTCTTCAACACACCGAGTGGAGTTTCCTTTATTGGGGGTCTCAGAAACTCCCAACACGTCGAGGTCTACTGTTGGTATCCAGAGCTATAAGTGTGGATACCATCGTTCTCAATCCACCATTTGGTATCTATGGGCGACAGCTACGTCTTGTTGAGAGTGATGCCGTAGATGGTGTGTTTGTCGCTTCTCAACGCGTTCATGGGGTGTTTGAACGTGTGTTTATCGAAGAGAGCCTGTTTGAAGAGGGTGTGTTTGATGATGTTGTTTCACCACGTATTTCTTGACCCCTTTCGCCTTTCCGATCTCGCCATTGTCGGCTTTCAGGATGGAATACATCTTGGGTCTGAATCCGACATATTCAGGGATGGGTGTTCCCGCGCATTTGTCCTTCATCTTGCCGAGGACCTTTTTATTGGTCGTGCTGTGTAGGCGTGGTTATCACTGGTGTCGTAGAAATGGGGGTGTTCCGCCATGTCGGCGTACACATCGTCGGTGTGCATGTTCAACAGCAGGGAATCGGTGTCCGTGTACAGCAGCTCGCATCGATCGCCGTACTGTGGTTTGAGTCGGTTGTAGTAGAAATCGTACATGAGATGTTTGGAGAGGTTGAGAATGCTCATCCCCACGTAGACGGGTCGGTTGAGTTTGATGTGGTTTTTGATCATGTGCAACGCTGCCAAGTCGTTATCGAATAGCTTGCTCCGGTTGAATGCCGGACTGGCGATCAGTTTCCTGAGTTTTTCTTCCTCGTGAGATCGCACGAGTTTGACTGTCACCCGTTTTCTCAAGTTTTCCATGGTTTTGCCGAACACCGAATTGTTCATCAGTTTGTAGAGGTTTTTCTCGAAGTTCAACCGAATGTAAGGTTCCATCCAGGGACTTTGATCGCATTGCAGCACCCGATGTATTTTGGTCAGCTTCGTGCCCAGCGACAGGTACAGTTGCAGATTCCGATAGTGCACCATGTACTTGGTCTTGTGCATCAAGTTTGGAACGAGTTTTTCCACGTTGGCCAGCATATTTTTCCTGAGCAATGTTAGTTGATAGTCCGACAACCAGTCTTGGTTCACCGTCAATCGTTCGGGAGCCAGTGGATAGCTGTTGTGAGCAGCGTGCAATGCCGCGGGATACTCCAGATCCACTTCGAGGATGTAGCCTTTATTCGAAACCGCCGCGATGCTCGTGATATCAATCTCATCGTCCAACCACTCGAACCCGAGCGTAGGTAGAGACTGCCTCATGGCCTAGCCGTACAGGTTGTTGGCGTCGAGATACAGGAGGTGATTGGTGGGCTTGTTCGAGTCGTAGCCTTCCAGGTATGGGTTGTTTGCTTTCACGTACCGTTTGGAGACCATGGAAATCCCGCCGTGCATGCCTTGCTCGATGAACAGGTGCATGTCGTAATCTGTGAGCAATTCCAGTTTGAGTCTGGTTTTCTTCAAGAGCGCATCCCTAGAGACCGGGGCTGGTGTAGTACCAGGCAGGGTCGAATTGATACTGTTTTAAGCACGTCGTTCTGAACATCTCAAACACGTCGGCCAGCAGCAGCACGTCCGTTTTCAGTACTGGTTGTGGTAGTAAGCCCAGATTCGCCAACCCAGTTTGTTCCACCGCGTTCTGAAGCGTGGTGCGTAATCGTCCTGGGACATATGGGATTCGGTCAAGTTGCTGTAAATTCGGTCGATGGGAGGTAGTTGGGTCTCGTCGAACTTGGGCCAATCGTCCATGTACCTGTACGGGTACCGCCTTTTTTGAGCAGCAGAGATCGAGTCCCCTCATCGGTGTATCAATAGTTGATGGCGAAGGTATCGTTGGCCTTGACCAAACTATCGAGCGATGACAGGAGAAACTGAGAGCTATTGATAAATCTCAGACGTTTGAACGAGAACAAGATGTATTTTTCCATGTTGTTGGGGATGCACTTGATATCGCCATCGATGTTCGAGATGGCCTGCATGATCAAGTGAGCATCGTGCCCTCTCAAATTATTGAAGACCACGGGGTATGTTGATTTTGTGGGGATCGATTCTAAGTTTTAAGTTGCACGCGTTGTGAGCGGCACCTCGGTACCGGCCGATGATGTGACAATGATCTCTCACAACATCCCCATTCAGGGGTTGGTCTCACACGAGGCAACATTTAGCACGCTTGTGAGCGAGTTCATCCTCCGGCGTGATATTTATGGGAGCAGGATCAGACAACGCTTCCCTGATGTTTTTCTCTTCGCGTTGTAAGAACGTGAGAAATGTTTCGGCCGCGTGGGGACCTCGATAGATCACGGGAGTCTCCGTTTCACCATCGCATCAAACGACCACATACCCGAACCCGCAGGCTGGGTGTTCTTGGGTTTTGTACCTAAAACTTTTTTCCGGGGATGGCGCGATGTGGTCAACCTGTTTGATGAGCTCTTTGAAGTTGGCGTAAATGACGTAAGGCATGGGCATTTGATGTTTGTTGATGATGAATTTTAAGATGTTTTCATGTTCTCGAGGCATGTCGATTCGTATCGCCGTCTCTCCTACGCCTCGACAATCCTCCCGCTTTGCTTCCAGCAGGTCGGCTCGTGTGAAGCCGTGCAGACATCGTTCACAGAAATGTTTCTTTTCTCTGTGCGTCGATTGATCATACAACAGTCTGCTCAGACTTTCAATATATGTATAGTGATACTTACCCTCTTTTTCGGTCATAAATAAATTGATTCTGCGCACATCATCAGACATGGAGCTGATTCGGTGTACAATGGTTGTATTGCATTTGTGACCGAAGACGTTGATGGCTAAATGGTTTAGTTTTTCACAGTAGGAAATGGGTGTGGGTTTAACTAAGCCATCCCAGTTAAGCCCATCATCTTTCCTCATAATGTATGTGATGTACTGTAACTACTGGGATAAGGTACTTGATATACTGTAGCGACAGGGATAATGTATGTGATGTACTGTAACTACAGGGATAATGTACGTGATATACTGTAGCGACAGGGATAATGTATGTGATGTACTGTAACTACAGGGATAATGAACGTGATATACTGTAGCGACAGGGATAATGTATGTGATGTACTGTAACTACAGGGATAATGTACGTGATATACTGTAACTACTGGGATAATGTACGTGATATACTGTAGCGACAGGGATAATGTATATGATGTACTGTAACTACAGGGATAATGTACGTGATATAGTGTAGTGACAGGGATAATGTATGTGATGTACTGTAACTACTGGGATAATGTATGTGATGTACTGTAGCGACAGGGATAATGTATGTGATGTACTGTAACTACAGAGATAATTTATGTGATGTACTGTAACTACAGGGATAATGTACGTGATATACTGTAGCGAAAGGGATAATGTATATGATGTACTGTAACTACAGAGATAATTTATGTGATGTACTGTAACTACAGGGATAATGAACGTGATATACTGTAACTACTGGGATAATGTACGTGATATACTGTAGCGACAGGGATAATGTATATGATGTACTGTAACTACAGAGATAATTTATGTGATGTACTGTATCTACTGGGATAATGTACGTGATATACTGTAGCGACAGGGATAATGTACGTGATGTACTGTAACTACAAGGATAATGAACGTGATATACTGTAGCGACAGGGATAATGTATATGATGTACTGTAACTACTGGGATAATGAACGTGATATACTGTAGCGACAGGGATAATGTATATGATGTACTGTAACTACAGAGATAATTTATGTGATGTACTGTAACTACAGGGATAATGTATGTGATATACTGTAACTACAGGGATAATGTATGTGATGTACTGTAACTACAGAGATAATGATATGTGATGTACTTTGAACATAGCGTGTAATGTTACAGGGATAACGTGATGTACTGTAACTACAGGGATAATGTATGTGATGTACTGTAACTACAGGGATAATGTATGTGATGTACTGTAACTACAGGGATAATGTATGTGATGTAACTACAGGGATAATGTACGTGATGTACTGTAACTACAGAGATAATGTATGTGATGTACTGTAACTACTGGGATAATGTATGTGATGTACTGTAACTACAGGGATAATGTATGTGATGTACTGTAACTACAGGGATAATGTATGTGATGTACTGTAACTACAGGGATAATGTATGTGATATACTGTAACTACAGGGATAATGTATGTGATGTACTGTAACTACAGGGATAATGTATGTGATGTACTGTAACTACAGGGATAATGTATGTGATATACTGTAACTACAGAGATAATGTATGTGATATACTGTAACTACAGAGATAATGTATGATGTACTGTAACTACAGGGATAATGTATGTGATGTACTGTAACTACAGGGATAATGTATGTGATGTACTGTAACTACACAGGGATAATGTATGCGTGATGTACTGTAACTACAGGGATAATGTATGTGATGTACTGTAACTACAGGGATAATGTATGTGATGTACTGTAACTTCAGGGATAATGTATATGTGATGTACTGTAACTACAGGGATAATGTGTATGTGATGTACTGTAACTACAGGGATAAATGTACATGATGTACTGTAACTGATAATATGCGTGATGTACTGTAACTACAGAGATAATGTGCGTGATGTACTGTAACTACAGAGATAATGTATGTGATGTACTGTAACTACAGGGATAATGTATGTGATGTACTGTAACTACTGGGATAATGTATGCGTGATGTACTGTAACTACAGGGATAATGTGCGTGATGATGTACTGTAACTACAGAGATAATGTATGTGATGTACTGTAACTACAGGGATAATGTACGTGATGTACTGTAACTACAGGGATAATGTATGTGATGTACTGTAACTACAGGGATAATGTATGTGATATACTGTAACTACAGGGATAATGTATGTGATATACTGTAACTACAGGGATAATGTATGTGATGTACTGTAACTACAGGGATATTGTATGTGATATACTGTAACTACAGGGATAATGTATGTGATGTACTGTAACTACAGGGATAATGTATGTGATGTACTGTAACTACAGAGATAATGTATGTGATATACTGTAACTACAGAGATAATGAGATATGATGTACTTTGTAACTACAGGGATAATGTGCAAGCGATGTACTGTAACTACAGAGATAATGTATGTGATGTACTGTAACTACTGGGATAATGTACGTGATGTACTGTAACTACAGAGATAATGTATGTGATGTACTGTAACTACAGGGATAATGTATGTGATATACTGTAACTACAGAGATAATGTATGTGATGTACTGTAACTACAGAGATAATGTATGTGATGTACTGTAACTACAGGGATAATGTATGTGATGTACTGTAACTACAGAGATAATGTACGTGATGTACTGTAACTACAGGGATAATGTATGTGATGTACTGTAACTACAGGGATAATGTATGTGATGTACTGTAACTACAGGGATAATGTATGTGATGTACTGTAACTACAGAGATAATGTATGTGATGTACTGGAACTACAGGGATAATGTACGTGATGTACTGTAACTACAGGGATAATGTATGTGATGTACTGTAACTACAGAGATAATGTATGTGATGTACTGTAACTACAGGGATAATGTATGTGATGTACTGTAACTACAGGGATAATGTATGTGATGTACTGTAACTACAGAGATAATGTATGTGATGTACTGTAACTACAGGGATAATGTACGTGATGTACTGTAACTACAGAGATAATGTATGTGATGTACTGTAACTACAGGGATAATGTCATGTGATGTACTATGTAACTTACAGGAGATAATGTATGTGATGCTACTGTAACTACAGAGATAATGTATGTGATGTACTGTAACTACAGGGATAATGTATAACTACAGGGATAATGATGTACTGTAACTACAGGGATAATGTATGTGATGTACTGTAACTACAGGGATAATGTACGTGATGTACTGTAACTACAGGGATAATGTATGTGATGTACTGTAACTACATGGGATAATGTATGTGATGTACTGTAACTACAGAGATATTGTATGTGATGTACTGTAACTACAGGGATAATGTACGTGATGTACTGTAACTACAGAGATAATGTATGTGATGTACTGTAACTACAGGGATAATGTATGTGATGTACTGTAACTACAGGGATAATGTACGTGATATACTGTAACTACAGAGATAATGTATGTGATGTACTGTAACTACAGGGATAATGTATGTGATGTACTGTAACTACAGGGATAATGTATGTGATGTACTGTAACTACAGAGATAATGTATGTGATGTACTGTAACTACAGGGATAATGTACGTGATGTACTGTAACTACAGAGATAATGTATGTGATGTACTGTAACTACAGGGATAATGTACGTGATGTACTGTAACTACAGGGATAATGTACATGATATACTGTAACTACAGAGATAATGTATGTGATGTACTGTAACTACAGGGATAATGTATGTGATGTACTGTAACTACAGAGATAATGTATGTGATGTACTGTAACTACAGGGATAATGTACGTGATGTACTGTAACTACAGGGATAATGTATGTGATGTACTGTAACTACAGAGATAATGTATGTGATGTACTGTAATTAGAGGGATAATGTATGTGATGTACTGTAACTACAGGGATAATGTATGTGATGTACTGTAACTACAGGGATAATGTACGTGATGTACTGTAACTACAGGGATAATGTATGTGATGTACTGTAACTACAGGGATAATGTATGTGATGTACTGTAACTACAGGGATGTACTGATGTGTAACTACAGGATAATGTATGTGATGTACTGTAACTACAGAGATAATGTATGTGATGTACTGTAACTACAGGGATAATGTAATGATACAGTGTAGTACTGACAGGGATAATGTATGCGTGGATAATGTACTGTAACTACAGGGATAATGTATGTGATGTACTGTAACTACAGGGATAATGTACGTGATGTACTGTAACTACAGGGATAATGTACGTGATATACTGTAGTGTATATTTTATGAAACGCTGAGTAACATTGTGCGTTGTTGATGTAAACAAGGAAAGAGTGGATGTTGTTGCAGTATCTCCGGCTGATGCACCTCTATCATCACAGCGCCCCTCCTCCTCCACTGCAGTGCTGGCATTGGCCTAACTGGTACCCTCATCACGATCGATGCCATCCCTAGCATACATTGAGTCCAGTTTGAAGGTAAACACTTTCACCTGCATAGAGGAGAATTTGAAGGTAAACATGCTCACTTACATAGATTCCATTTTGAAGAGAACACACCTCAAGTCCAGTTTGAAGGTAAACACGCTCACCTAAATAGAGTCTAGTTTGAAGGTAAACATGCTCACCTAAATAGAGTCAAGTTTGAAGGTAATCACACCTCGACTCCCATTTTAAGGTAAACACGCTTACCTAAATAGAGTCCAACTTCTTTGAGAGGCATTTAGAAGTTGAAGCTGTAAGGAAGGATAACTATATTGATGAACAACGTCTCTATTGCTGTGAGAGCAACGTTTTGGTGTAGGTTCTAACACTGTCATCAAGAGTAATCAGTACAAAGGTGTTTCTCATTCTATGAATATCTTACTCCTTATTGCCATTTTAGTTATTTTCAAATTGCCTTGTATGCTGTGAGGGAGGTATCTCAACCTGATTCCCTTTTCAGTGGAAGATTTGGTGGCCGCATGGTTCATATTGCTGAATTTGTGTGCTTTCAATTTTGCACCTCACTCTGAGAGTCAATTTGACACCAGGATAACCCCTCAAAGTACAAGAATTTGTATTGTATTGAGAGAGGATAATTCCAAATATAACAATTGGTACATTGGACTGCTTTCTAGAAGGCATTATGTATTAACATATGTAATATCTTACGCTTATCATTATACCGGTATCATGACACTAGATGAGTATTTGCATTCCTTTTCAGTTTGATGTGTTTGAAATAGTTAGTGACTTACGCCGACAGCGCTGTGGAATGATCCAGACAAAGGTGAGTACACCACCATGAAACGTCAAACCTATAAGTGTCTTCGCGCCATCCTCGGTATCTCAACTTGCTTCACTGTCATTATGTGACATGTTCACTTTACTTGGTCGTTTATCTTGCTTCACTGTCATTATGTGACATGTTCATTTTACTTGGTCGTTTATCCTGCTCCACTGTCATTATGTGACATGTTCATTTTACTTGGTCATTTATCCTGCTCCACTGTCATTATGTCTATATGTTTGTTGTATCACTAACAGACAGTCATGCTGTTTGTTGCTCTTTACATTGTTCTGTGTACCACTGACAGACCTTCATGCTGTTTGTTGCTCTTTACATTGTTCTGTGTATCACTGACAGACAGTCATGCTGTTTGTTGCTCTTTACATTGTTCTGTGTATCACTGACAGACAGTCATGCTGTTTGTTGCTCTTTACATTGTTCTGTGTACCACTGACAGACCTTCATGCTGTTTGTTGCTCTTTACATTGTTCTGTGTATCACTGACAGACAGTCATGCTGTTTGTTGCTCTTTACATTGTTCTGTGTATCACTGACAGACAGTCATGCTGTTTGTTGCTCTTTACATTGTTCTGTGTATCACTGACAGACAGTCATGCTGTTTGTTGCTCTTTACATTGTTCTGTGTATCACTAACATACAGTCATGCTGTTTGTTGCTCTTTACATTGTTCTGTGTATCACTGACAGACACCCATGCTGTTTGTTGCTCTTTACATTGTTCTGTGTATCACTGACAGACAGTCATGCTGTTTGTTGCTCTTTACATTGTTCTGTGTATCACTGACAGACAGCCATACTTTTTGTTGCTCTTTACATTGTTCTGTGTATCACTGACATACAGTCATGCTGTTTGTTGCTCTTTACATTGTTCTGTGTATCGCTGACAGACAGCCATACTGTTTGTTGCTCTTTACATTGTTCTGTGTATCACTAACATGACAGTCATGCTGTTTGTTGCTCTTTACATTGTTCTGTGTATCACTGACAGACAGTCATACTTTTGTTGCTCTTTCACATTGTTCTGTGTATCACTAACATACAGTCATGCTGTTTGTTGCTCTTTACATTGTTCTGTGTATCACTGACAGACAGTCAGACTTTTTGTTGCTCTTTGCATTGTTCTGTGTATCACTGACAGACAGACCCGTGGAAGATCCGAGGGTAGAATAGGTCTTCAGCAACCCATGTGCTTGCCATAAAAGTGCCACTCATGCTTGTCGTGAAAAGGCTAATTAACCGGATCGGTGGTCAGTTTCGCACACTTGGTTGACACATGTCATCGGTTCCCAATTGGCGCAGAGATCGATGCTCATGCTGTTGATCACTGGATTGTCTGGTCCAGACTCTTCGATTATTTACAGACCGCCATATAGCTGGGATATTGCTGAGGCGCATAAAACTAAACTCACTCACTCACTCACTCACTGACAGACAGTCATGCTGTTTGTTGCTCTTTACATTGTTCTGTGTATCACTGACAGACAGCCATGCTGTTTGTTGCTCTTTACATTGTTCTGTGTATCACTAACAGACAGTCATGCTGTTTGTTGCTCTTTACATTCTGTGTATCACTGACAGACAGTCATACTGTTTGTTGCTCTTTACATTGTTCTGTGTATCACTAACAGACAGTCATGCTGTTTGTTGCTCTTTACATTGTTCTGTGTATCACTGACAGCCAGTCATACTTTTTGTTTACATTTCACATTGTTCCATGTGTATCACTGGACTGACAGTCATGCTGTTTAGTTAGCTCTTTACATTGTTCTGTGTATCAACTAACATACAGTCATGACTGTTTGTTGCTCTTTAACATTGTTCTGTGTATCACTGACAGACAGACCTTACTTTTTGAAGATCCGGTAGAATAGGTCTATCACTGACAGCCCATGTGCTTGCTGTAAAAGGCTCTTTATGCTTGTCGTAAAGGCACTGACGGGGATCGAATTGGTCATGCTTTTTGCTGACTTGGTTGACATTGTTCATCCGGTTCCCAATTGGCAGATCGATGCTCATGCTGTTCGATTGCTGGATTGTCTGGTTCAGACTCGATTATTTACAGACCACCGCCATATAGCTGGGATATTGCTGAGTGCGGCATAAAACTAAACTCACTCACTCACTCACTCACTGACAGACAGTCATGCTGTTTGTTGCTCTTTACGTTGTTCTGTGTATCACTGACAGACACCCATGCTGTTTGTTGCTCTTTACATTGTTCTGTGTATCACTAACAGACAGTCATGCTGTTTTGTTGCTCTTTACATTCTGTGTATCACTGACAGACAGTCATGCTGTTTGTTGCTCTTTACATTGTTCTGTGTATCACTGACAGCCAGTCATACTTTTTGTTGCTCTTTACATTGTTCTGTGTATCACTGACAGACAGTCATGCTGTTTGTTGCTCTTTACGTTGTTCTGTGTATCACTGACAGACACCCATGCTGTTTGTTGCTCTTTACATTGTTCTGTGCATCACTAACAGACAGTCATGCTGTTTGTTGCTCTTTACATTCTGTGTATCACTGACAGACAGTCATGCTGTTTGTTGCTCTTTACATTGTTCTGTGTATCACTGACAGACAGTCATACTTTTTGTTGCTCTTTACATTGTTCTGTGTATCACTGACAGACAGTCATACTGCTCTTTACATTGCTCTGCCCATGTGTCTCACTGGTCTGTTGCATACTGTTTAGTTAGCTCTTTACATTGTTCTGTGTATCAATAACAGACACCCATGCTGTTTGTTGCTCTTAACATTGTTCTGTGTATCACTGACAGACAGTCATACTTTTTGGTGCTCTTTACATTGTTCTGTGTATCACTGACAGACAGTCATGCTGTTTGTTGCTCTTTACATTCTGTGTATCACTGACAGACAGTCATATGCTGTTTTGTTGCTCTTACATTGTTTCTGTGTATCACTGACGAAGACAGTCATGCTGTTTGTTGCTCTTTACATTGTTCTGTGTATCACTGACAGACAGTCATGCTGTTTGTTGCTCTTTACATTGTTCTGTGTATCACTGACAGACAGTCATACTGTTTGTTGCTCTTTACATTGTTCTGTGTATCACTGACAGACAGTCATGCTGTTTGTTGCTCTTTACATTGTTCTGTGTATCACTGACAGACAGTCATACTTAGTGTTGCTCTTTACATTGTTCTGTGTATCACTAACATACAGTCATGCTGTTTGTTGCTCTTTACATTGTTCTGTGTATCACTGACAGCCAGTCATACTTTTTGTTGCTCTTTACATTGTTCTGTGTATCACTGACAGACAGTCATGCTGTTTGTTGCTCTTTACATTGTTCTGTGTATCACTGACAGACAGTCATGCTGTTTGTTGCTCTTTACATTGTTCTGTGTATCACTGACAGACAGTCATGCTGTTTGTTGCTCTTTACATTGTTCTGTGTATCACTGACAGACAGTCATGCTGTTTGTTGCTCTTTACATTGTTCTGTGTATCACTGACAGACAGTCATACTTAGTGTTGCTCTTTACATTGTTCTGTGTATCACTAACATACAGTCATGCTGTTTGTTGCTCTTTACATTGTTCTGTGTATCACTAACAGCCAGTCATACTTTTTGTTGCTCTTTACATTGTTCTGTGTATCACTGACAGACAGTCATGCTGTTTGTTGCTCTTTACATTGTTCTGTGTATCACTGACAGACACCCATGCTGTTTGTTGCTCTTTACATTGTTCTGTGTATCACTGACAGACAGTCATGCTGTTTGTTGCTCTTTACATTGTTCTGTGTATCACTAACAGACAGTCATGCTGTTTGTTGCTCTTTACATTGTTCTGTGTATCACTGACAGACAGCCATACTTTTTGTTGCTCTTTACATTGTTCTGTGTATCACTAACATACAGTCATGCTGTTTGTTGCTCTTTACATTGTTCTGTGTATCGCTGACAGACAGTCATGCTGTTTGTTGCTCTTTACATTGTTCTGTGTATCACTAACATACAGTCAGACTTTTTGTTGCTCTTTGCATTGTTCTGTGTATCGCTGACAGACAGACCCGTGAAGATCCGAGGTAGAATAGGTCTTCAGCAACCCATGTGCTTGCCATAAAAGGCGACTATGCTTGTCGTAAAAGGCGACTAACGGGATCGGGTGGTCAGTTTCGCTGACTTGGTTGACACATGTCATCGGTTCCCAATTGCGCAGATCGATGCTCATGCTGTTGATCACTGGATTGTCTGGTCCAGACTCGATTATTTACAGACCGCCGCCATATAGCTGGGATATTGCTGAGTGCGGCATAAAACTAAACTCACTCACTCACTCACTCACTGACAGACAGTCATGCTGTTTGTTGCTCTTTACGTTGTTCTGTGTATCACTGACAGACAGTCATGCTGTTTGTTGCTCTTTACATTCTGTGTATCACTGACAGACAGTCATGCTGTTTGTTGCTCTTTACATTGTTCTGTGTATCACTGACAGACAGTCATACTTTTTGTTGCTCTTTACATTGTTCTGTGTATCACTGACAGACAGTCATACTGCTCTTTACATTGCTCTGCCCATGTGTCTCACTGGTCTGTTGCATACTGTTTAGTTAGCTCTTTACATTGTTCTGTGTATCAATGACAGACACCCATGCTGTTTGTTGCTCTTAACATTGTTCTGTGTATCACTGACAGACAGTCATACTTTTTGGTGCTCTTTACATTGTTCTGTGTATCACTGACAGACAGTCATGCTGTTTGTTGCTCTTTACATTCTGTGTATCACTGACAGACAGTCATGCTGTTTGTTGCTCTTTACATTGTTCTGTGTATCACTGACAGACAGTCATGCTGTTTGTTGCTCTTTACATTGTTCTGTGTATCACTAACAGACAGTCATGCTGTTTGTTGCTCTTTACATTGTTCTGTGTGTATCGCTGACGAGACAGCCATACTTTTTGTTGCTCTTTACATTGTTCTGTGTATCACTAACATACAGTCATGCTGTTTGTTGCTCTTTACATTGTTCTGTGTAT